GTCCTCCCCTGTGACATCACATCAATCATATGACATCACATCTCCCCCATGACATCACATCCCTGTTGTGGTATCACGGTTCCTCTATGACATCACATCCATCATATCACATCACATCTCTCCAGTGATATCATATCATCCCTGTGACATCACTTCCTCCCCGTGACATCACATCTCCCCTATCACATCACACCTCCCCATGACATCACATCCTCCCTGTGGCATCACATCTCCCCTGTGATGTCACAACCATAATATGACATCACACATCACCTATGACATCACAACTCCCCTATGACACCACATCCTTCCTGTGACATCAAACCTCCCTGTGACATCACATCTCCCCTATCACATCACATCCATCATATGACATCACATCTCTCCTGTGATCTCATATCAATTGTGTGACATCATGTCCTCCCCGTGACATCACAACTCCCCTCTGACATCACACCTCCACTGTGACATCACATCTCCCCTATGACATCACAACTATATCATCCCTGTCATATCATATCATCCCTGTGATGTCACATCCTCCCCTGTGACATCACATACTCCCCATGACATCACATCCTTCCTGTGACATCACATCTCCCCTATGACATCACATCCATCATATGACACCACACCTCTCCTGTGACATCATATCATCCCTGAGACATCACATCCCCCCCATGACATCACATCCTTCCTGTGACATAACATCTTACCGATGACATCACATCCTTCCTGTGACTTCACATCTCCTCTATGACATCACATCCATCATATGACATCACTTTTCTCCTGTGATATCATATCATCTCTGTGATGTCACGTCCTCCCCTGTAACATCATATCGTCCCTCTGAAATCACACCTCCCCTATGACATCACACCTGCCTGTGACATCACATCCTTCCTGTGAAATCACGTCTCCTGTGATATCATATCATCCCTTTGACATCACGCGCTTGCTTGTGACATCACATCTCCCTTGTGATATCACATCCTTGTTGTGACATCAGGGCTCCTCTATGACGTCACATCCATCATATCACATCACATCTCCCCTGTGACATCACATCCAGTGACATCCAGATCCATCCCAAGGTTGGGGGTGTGTGAGACAGGCAGAACCACAAATGCCTGCACAGCCCAGAGCAGTCAGTGTGGGGCTGTGCTTGCTGCTGCAGAGACCCCCAGGGAACAAACCCAGGGAGTACTTTGGGGGACTCTGTGTGTGTCCCCAGGCAGGACACTTACCTTATTATTGCTTATTATTTGTAATATCTTATAGATCTCTCATACAACACCTAAGGATGGATTCTATAGAATATGTGCCATAGATATTTGGGTTGGGTCTGGCTGAGCTGCAGTTCAGTTCCCCACAGCAGCCCTCCCAGGGCTGGGCTTGGCATTGGCAGCTGGAAGGGGGTTGAGAACACCCCAGTGTTTTGGCCCCTGCTGAGCACAGCACCAACACTGGGACATTCCTTCCTTAGCTGAGGGCAAGAGCCTGGCAGGGGACCCAAGTAGGCCAGCTGAGCCCAACTGAGCCAAGGGACATTGCAGCGATGGGAGGTCAGCTCAGCTCTAAAAGCTGAGGCAGGGAGCAGGAGGGGGGCATTCATTGTCTGATGGCTGCCTGCTGAGGAACCGTCCCGCGGACCCAAGCCCTGCTCCTCGGGAGTGGCCGACCATGGCTGCTCATGGCAAGCAGAGAACAAACCCTGCTGTCTTTTGCTTTAAATAAACTGCCTTATCTCAACCCACCAGTTGTTTTTTGTTCGACCTTACTCTCTCCCCTGTCCTGCTGGAAAGTGGAGTGATAGAGCGGCTGGGAGGGCACCTGGTGTCCAGCCAAGGTCAACCCACCACACACCTGAACAGTTCCAGAGACTCCACCACCTCCCTGGGCTACTTGTTCCAATGCCTGAACACTCTCTCAGTGGAAAAAGAATTCTTCAATATCTAGTATGAACCTTGCCCAATGCAATTTAAGGCCATTCCCTCAAGCCCAGTTCCCTCAGCCGTCCCTCAGCAGACATGTTTTCCAGAGCCTTCCCCAGCTCCGTTCCCTTCTCTGGACACGCTCCAGCCCCTCCAGGGCCTTTTGGCACTGAGGGGCCACAACTGGACACAGCACTCCAGGTGGGGCCTCCCCAGTGCCCAGCACAGAGGGGCAATCAGTTCTCTGCTCCTGCTGGCCACACTCTTCTCCACAAAGGCCACCATGCCCTTGGCCCTCTTGCCCCCCTGGGCACACTCTGCCTCATATCCAGCCCCTGTCAAGCAGCACCCCCAAGTCCCTTCCTGCTGAGCAGCTCTCCAGCCCCTCTGCCCCCAGCCTGGAACGTTCCAGGGGGTTGTTGGGACCCAGGTGAAGGTTCTGACACTTGGCCTTATTGATCCAGCCTGTCCAGATCCCTCTGCAGAGCCTTCCTGCCCTCCAGCACATCCGCACTCACACCCAATGTGGTGTTGTCCATGAATTTCCTGAGGGGGCACTCGATCCCCTGGCCCAGATCATCCAGAATGATGTGAAACAGGAGCAGCCCCAACCCTGAGCCCTTGGGAACCCCACTAGTGACCGGCCCCACCTGGATTTCCTTCCATTCCCCACCACTCCCTGGGCCTTCAGACACTTTGTCACCCAGCAAACAGTTCCCCGGGCAAGCCATGAGCAGCCAGTTTGTGCAGGAGATGCTGGGGGAGATGGTGCCAAAGGCTTTCTGGAATTCCACAGAGACACATCCCCAGCCTTTCCCTCAGCTGCTGAGCGGGTCCTTTGTCAGAGAAGGAGATGAGGTTGGTCAGACAGGACCTGCCTTTCCCAACCCCACGCTGGCTGGGCCTGATCCCCTGGTTGTCCTGCCCCTGCCATGGGATGGCACTGAGGAGGATCTGCTGCATGGACTTCCCTGGTCCTGAGGTCAATGGGACACGCCAGGAGTTGCCCAGATGCTCCTTTTGGCCCTTCCTGTGCATGGGCATCCCATGTGCTTGTTGTCAGTCAGCTGGGACTTGTGCAGTTGTGCAGCACTGCTGGAGATTTACTGAGAGTGGCTTGGCCAGCTCTTTCTCCAGCTCCCTCAGGACTCTTGGCTGCATCCCATGTGGACCCAGGCACTTGGGGGGTCTCACTGGCAGAGCAGGTCACTGACCATTTCCTCCTGCATTGTGGGGGTTTCACTCAGCTCCCCATCACCAGCTTCCAGCCAAAGCCTGCCTGACAGGTGTCCAAGGGGTCAGTTCTGCTGCCCCCTCCTTCCTTCCCCCACAATGGAAAACTCCCTCATTTTGGGTCCCTGTGCCCCAGACGGCTCCAACCACCACCTCACCCACCAGTCCCACAGTCATGGAATGCTTTGGCTTGGGAGGGGCCTTCAAGAGCATCTCAGCACCCTCAGAGGAAAGAATTCCTTCCTACTATCTCCTCCAACCCTTCCCTCTATCCATGTGAAGCCACTGCCCCTTGTCCTGTCACTCCAGGCCCTTGTCCAAAGTCTCTCTCCATCTTTCCTGTTGGCTCCTTTCAGGCACTGGAAGGCCACAATTCGGTCACCCCAAAGCCTTCTCTTCTCCAGCCTCAACAATCCCAATTCTCTCAGTCTTTCCTCACAGCAGAGCTGCTCCATCCCTCTGATCCTCTTGCTGCTCCCCTCTGCACTCGCTCCAGCAGGTCCATGTCCTTCCTGTGCTGGAGCCCAGAGCTGGAGGCAGCTCTGCAGGTGGGGCAGCATTACAGCCACGCATGTTCCAGCAAGGACATGGTGGAACCTCATGGAACCAAGGACCACTGGGACACTGAAGGGCCTTCTGGAGCCAAAGGAGCCCTGGGACACTGGGCAATCTCATGGAATCAAGGCAGCACTGTCACCCTGGGAAAACTCCTGGAATTCAGGGCCCATTGTGACACTGCAGCTCCCCATGGAACAAAAGGAACCCTGGGACGCTGCGGAAACTCATGGAACCAAGGAACCATTGGGACATTGAGGGGGCTGATGGAATCAGGAGTCCATTGGGATAATCCAGGGCCTCATGAAATCAATGGAATTCTGGGACACTGTCAAACCTCCTGGAACCAAGGGTTCCTGCTGACATGGGTGTCCTCCTGGAACCAAGGGACCCCGGAGATATTTCTGAACCTCCCAGAATCCAGGGGCCATTGGGACCCTGCAGAACCTCCTGCATTCAAGTGCTCCTTGTGAAACTGCAGGCTCTCCTGGAACCCAAGGATTCCTGGAACACTGCAGAGCTCACGGAACCAAGGGGCCACTGTCCCACTGCAGCTCCTTCTGAAGCACAAGGGACCCTGGGACAATGGGAAATCTCCGAGAATCCAAAGGGCATTTTGGGACTGCAGGGCCTCATGGAACTAAAGGAACCTTTGGAGACTGTGGAAGCTCATGGAATCCAGGGGCCATTGGGACATGTGGGGCCTCCTGGAAGCAAAGGAACCCTGATAATTTCTGTGGGAACAAGTTAAGGCAGCAGCAGCTGCATTCAGTTAATCAGGATCCAAAAGGAGTGTTTTGGCCTTGACTGGTGTTTTCCATCCAGAGAGGGCTGTTTGCCAAAGTGGAAACCACTTGGAACGCTCTGCATGGCAGCCTGTGTTTTTCTCTGGTGGCTGAACACAGCCAGCACATGAGGGGAGGGGAATGTGTGGGATCAGGGCACTGCTTTGGGGCCATGCTGGGAATTCTGATGGACTAAAAGACAAAGCCCAGGCGCTGTTTCCAAAGGAACCCCAATGAAAGGGGGACGGGTGAAAAAGGGGGGGTGGTCTGGCAGGTCTGACGGTCTCATGGGGGTCTTTGGGCAAAGGGGGGCTGGCAAAGCAGGGTGGCCCCCCTGAGCTTCCAATTTCTGTGGGGTGCTGGGGGCTGCTGGATCCAATCTCAGCCTTGGGTTATTCCAACAGTTTCAGTTTAGAGGAATTAGAGAGGTGTGACTGCAACACTTTGGTCCCCCAGGTTTTAATGATGGTAATTCAGATCTATTGATAGAAATTAATTTATTTAGGGTCACAAATGATCAGACAAAAGATCTTCATCAGAATTATTTACTGCACAATACAAACACTAAAATTACCAGGAGAACAGGATAAGACAGGACAGTGCTCTACACTAAAGCAATTGTTGAAGCAATTCTACTCAAGCTGGCACAAAAGCAAGAATTCTTAATTAGAGATGGATGGAACTCCCCCAGACCAACGCTGGTCGAGAGATCTCTGCTCTCAACCTTCAGCAATTACGTTGAGGGGTCCCCAGTCAAGGCAGGAATCTCTACACACCCCCAAAGAAAGGTTCTGTTGGAAGAAGCTGCCCCTGGGAAAGGGGACTGGCCCTTTTTGGTCAAAAGGGATGGACTGACAGTCACTGGACTCCAGGGGTTGCCTCCCCATCAGGGGGTTCATTCAGGGTGGAAGCAGTGGCCGAAGGTCTTCCCGCAGTCGGGGCACTGGTAGGGCTTCTCTTACTGGTGGGTACGTTGGTGTCTGGTCAACTTAGAGCTGTCGATGAAGCTCTTCCCACACTCCCCACACTTGTACGGCCTCTCCCCTGTGTGAATGCGCCGGTGGGTGATGAGATGGGAGTTGTGCTTGAAGCCCTTCCCGCAGTCGGTGCAGCGGAAGGGCCTCTCATCCGTGTGCGTCCGCTCATGCCTGAGGAGAGTTGAGCTGGTCTGAAACCTCTTCCCACATTCCAAGCACTTGTAGGGCCGTTCCTCGGTGTGGATGAGCTGGTGGGTGCGGAGGTTGGAGCTGCTCCTGAAGCTCTTCCCACATTCCCCACATGTGTAGGGTCGTTCCCCAGTGTGGATGCGCTGGTGTTGGATCAGGTTGGAGCTCTGCCTGAAGCTCTTCCCACACTCCCTACACGTGTAGGGCCGTTCCCCAGTGTGGATGTGCTGGTGTCGGAGCAGGTGGGTGCTATTCCTGAAGCTCTTCCCACATTCCAAGCACTTGAAGGGCTTCCCCCTGTTGAGAGGCTGCTCAGGGACCACCACGTTGGAGCTCTGGCTCAAGCTCTGGCTGCCTTCCCGGCACAGGCTGGCTCTTTCCTCCTCAGAGCACCCTGGGATGGCTTTGGAGCCCCTCCTGCGGGGGGATCTCCGGCCCTTTTCCTCCCCGCTGCCTTCCTGCGCCGGGGAGCCCTTCAAAACGGCCTCTCCCACCAGGGGCTCACGGGGGGATTTGTCCTCCGGGCTCTCCGTCCTCACCTCGGGGCCTGGGGCAGGAAGCAAGAAGGACAGGCAGGGGATTTGCCTCCGGCCCACAGGGAAGGCCAAGGACATCCCCCCAACTCCGGCCCCGGCAGGACGGCGGCGCCAGCGGGGTTGTCCTGCAGCCGGGGCCATGCTCGGCTGACAGAGCCAGCACAACACCCGCCCAAAGGGACACTGACTTCCTCCTCACCTGCCTGGGGGGACCAAGGCATCTTCCTCTTCCTCGCAGCCTCCTCCTCCATCCGACCAAGCTTTGGGAAGGACAAATCCTGATGGGGGGAAACAAGGGCTGAGCACGTTGGCTTGGGGGTTCCTCCTGCCCAAGTCCATCTCTAGAACTCACCGGGCATCCTGTGTCCATAAAAACCTCCAAAACACCAAGATTCAGCCCAGAAAAACCCAAACCACCGAGATTCACACAAACATCCCTCACAAATTGCAAGAAGACCCTTAGCCCCTCAAACTGTAAAAAGTTGAAATTCAGCTAAAAAATACTCCAAAATATGAAGATTAGCCAAAAAAATCTCTCCCAAAAGTTCCCCCTCTCTGGTCTCTCCCCTCTGGGGTTCGGAGGGTCTCCCCTGTCTGGGATGCTGGGGGTCCCACTTAGAAATGCTGAGAGTGTTAGGGGTCCCAAGGGTTCCTTCTCCTCTGACTCTCACCTTCGGGGTGCTGCGTTCCCAGACATTCCCCCTCTCCAGGTTCTGCACTTCGTTGTCCCAGGGATCCCAGGGGTCCCCACTGTCCAGGCTTCCCCTTCTCCATCCCCCCTTTCAGGCTCCCGGGGCTCCTCCCTCTCCGTGCTCCCCCCTCCAGGCTGCCGGGGGTCCCCCAGCTCCAACATCGCCCCGCTCCGCCCCCCACACTTGGCAGCTCCCGGGCTCCACACCCACCCCCGGCACTCCCGGGGGGCCCCAAACCCGCTGTGTCCCCCCCGTCAGCACCGGGCTGACAATGGAGCCGGCGGGGCCTGACCCAGCAACACCAACCCCCACCATGGGGGGGACCCACATCCCCCCGCCCACCGCCGGGGCTCTGCCACCAACCCAGCCCGGCACCCCCAAAAAACACCTCCTGCCCACCCCCAAGAGTCCCCAAGGGCACAGCCCTGCACAAGGGCCGGCTGTGCCCAAGGCACCCAAACAGCTCCACAGGCGTTGGCTGGGGGGATGTGAGGGCTGGGCCTGCTCAGCACAGCCCCGGCCTCGTGCCCAGCGCCTCTTTCCTGACCCACACAAGAGCTTCCCGGCCCCCCCAGGGCTCCCCTGCTGCTGCCTCTGCTCCTGGCCCTGCCTTTGCTGCTCCCTTGGCTGGGGCAGCGGCTGCAGGGGGGGATGGCAGCAGCTTCAGCTCCACGGCACTTCCTGGGGGGAGCTCAGCCCGGGGGGACGGGCAGGGACCTGATGGGGATGGACAGGGGCCCAGCAGGGACAGCCAGGGCCTGCAGGGGAAGGCACAGGGACAACCTGGACCCCCACACTGACACTGCTGTCTCTGCTCCTCCTTGCAGGCTCCGTGGCCAGGTACAGTTTGTGTTCCTGGGTGCCCACCATCTCAGCACTTGGAGACGCTCAAATCAGCGCCCGCAGCTCTGCAGCAAAGCCCCAGCTCACCTGGCACACAGGGGATGGACACAGCACCTGCTCAGGGATGGGCATTCACAGCTTCAGGTCTTTCCCACCACGAGGCTGCCCTTACTCAGCAGCACCCCTGCCTTGCACTTATTCTCAGCCTCACCTCAGGGACAGCTCTGGGCTCACCTCCGCGCCACTTCTCAGCCTCACCTCAGGGCCTGGGCTCAAGGACAGGAACCTGCAGGGAGGGGACATCAGGTGCAAGCTGAGGGCTGCCTGCTTGCACTGGCCTCTGGGCTTCCTTCTCCTTCTACAACCAGCCCACAACTCAGCCTGCGTTTCTAACACCACACATTTACAGACTAACCTTGGAGATAGATATGGACAGACATCTCTATCACCCTGGGGATAGAGCCTCAAGCACGTGCTGCCATAGGAATGGGAATCAGAGAATCACAGAATCAGCCACGTTGGAAAAGACCTCCGAGATCATCAAGTCCAACCCTGGATCCAACCCCGCTGTGCTTCCCAGACCATGGCACTGAGGCCACATCCACTCTCACCTTCAACACCTCCAGGGACGCTGACTCCACCCCCTCCCTGCCCAGCCCATTCCAAGGCCTGATGACTCTCTTGGGAAAGAATTGCTTCCTAATATCCAACCTAAACCTCCCCTGGCACAGCTCAAGACCCAGCCCTCTTGTCCTGCTGCTGCTTCCTGGCACAACAGCCCCACCTCCACCTGGCTCCAACCTCCTGGCAGGGACTTGCAGACAGTCAGGAGGTCTCCCCTGAGCCTCCTCTTCTCCAGCCTCAACACCCCCAGCTCCCTCAGCCTCTCCTCACACCACTTGTGCTCCACTCCCTTCCCCAGCCTCGCTGCTCTTCTCTGGATCCTCTGACCACAAAAATGCTCCCCCTCCCACAGAAAGGCCAAGGGCATCTGGGGACACACTGGGGACTTTGGGGGTCTTTGTGGGGCACTGGGTGATTACTGGGGGATACTGGGACACACTGGGGGGAACCAGAGGGCATTGGGAGGACTGGGGGGTTACTGAGGGACACTGGGATGGCACTGGGAGGGACTGGGGGGGAACTGGGGCACACTGGAGGGCACTGGCAGAGAACTGGGGAGTTACTGGGGGATACCTGGACAATGGGGGGACACTGGCAGGTTACTGGGCCATACTGGGGGTTACTGGGTGCTCACTGGAGGATCACTGGGCCATACTGGGGGGCAGTGGGAGGTCACTGGGACACATTGGATGGTCACTGAGGGGGTTACTGGGCCATACTGAGGGTAACTGGGAGGTCACTGGGATATACTGGGGGCACTGGGATCCCCTTACCCAGATGTGGTACATCTCCCCCCCTGGATTTTGGAGGGCATCCCTAGGACCCCTCCCCTGGGGGCTGGGGGACCCCTTGAACCCCAATGCAGGGCTTTAGGGGACACCCTAAAATCCCCTCAAAACCCCTGAAATCCCCCTTCGACTCATCAAAACCTTCTCAAGGTCCCCACAAATCCCCTCAGAGATCTCATCCCTCCCCAGCACCCCCCAAACCCACTCATTTACCCGCAAAACCAACCTGGGACCCCCCAAGCCCATTCAGGGACCCCCCAATCCCCCTCAGAGACCCTCAAAACCGTCTAAGACCCCGTAAACCCGGGGACCTTCAAAACTGTCTGAGACCCACTAAACCCCCTAGAGACCCCAAAGTTGCCTAAAAGGTCCCTGCAAAGCCTCCCAGGAACCCCAGATCTCCCCAGAGACCCCCAAAGCCCACCTGGGACACCCCAAATCTTCTCAGAAAACAAAACCCTCATCAGAGCCCCCCAAAACTCTTCAGGGACCTTCAACCTCCCCCCCGACTCCTTTTAGGGACCCCTCAAAACGTCCCCGGGAACCCCCGAACCCCCCCGCTAAACCCTCCCGAGCCCTCCAGCCTTTCCACCCACACCCGCGCTCCCCGCAGCCCCCGAGGGGATCCCCAGACCCCGCTCTCGCCGCCCCCCCGCCAACTCACCCAGCGAAGCGCAGCGGCCGCAGGCGAGTCCTGCTCACTCCCGACCACGAGGCCAAAATGGCGCTCGCTCCGCGCGCCCTCCGCCTTTACAGACCCGCCCCGCAGCCAATCAGCGCGCGGCCACGGCCCCCGCCCGCCCTTCGCCACGCCCCCACCTGCGCGGTGCATTGTGGGAGTTGTATTCCCTGCGGCGGGGGAGGATCGGACTTGTTGGGTTTAGTTTTTCTGTCTTCTTTTATTTTCTCTTTTTTATTTCTTTCTTTTCTTTTTTTTCTTTCTTCTTCCTTTTATCCCCTTTTTGCTCTCTTTTCTTTTTTTTCTCCTTTTTCTTTTTCTTCTATTTTTTCTTTTTTTTATTTTTTTTTCTCTTTTTTTTCTTTTTCTCTTTTTTCTTATTTTTTTTTATATTTTGTATTTTCTTATTATTTCCATTTTCCTTTTTTTTTTTTTACATTGTTTCCTATCAGTTGTACTTTCAGGGAAGATTTATACTCAGATCAAAACAATCTCCAGGTACATATCCTGCCACAACAGATAATCTGCCATTGTTCCAGGTTCCTGAGAATTTCCCAGATCACACAACTTGTACAAGAGCACTCTATTGTCATCTTCCAAAACCTTGGAGAGGTCCCAGAGATGTCCCAGGAAGGAATTTGGGGCCTCAAGCACATGACCCGTATATAGAGGCTGAGGACTCAGGGGTCAGTGGTGTGAAGATTGAGGACAGTAGAGGAGTAGCCTGAGAGGTCTGGAAGGGGGGTGTCAGAGCTGGTGGAGCTTTTCTTCCTGTCAGAAAACAGCCTAAGAAAGAACTAGTGCCACCAAGGCCAGCTGGGGTGGCCTAGATTGGTGACAAGAAGTCAGAAATTTCCCTCTGAGGTCAGTGCTGTGGTGCAATATGTCACAAAGAAGGAGTCTGGATGAGCCCAAGGCTTTGTGTGTGCAGGAAGAGCCAGGGAGGACGCAGAGATGTCAGTGCAGGAAGGTGCCAGCCAGGTGGGGCAGTCGGGGGGATGACGACAGCCTGCAGGGAAAGGGGCAGGGCATGGACACCGTAGGACAGCCTGGGCTGGAGAGGAGACAGGGATGGGGAGAAGCTGAAAGGCCCTGACAGAGCCACCTTCTGCAGGCCTTTGGCCAGGGCTGCTGT